AAGTCCCACAGCTAATAAATAAAGAAGCTACCAATAGAAGAAACTACCATGTACTCCCTATACCCTGGGCAGAATGAGAATATGACAGTAAAGCTATAGAGCCCTCAAGAGAGAACATAATGAAATCACAGGAAAATAAATAATCACCATTTCAGAGATGGGACAAGTGAGATCCAGCAAGGTATTATGGTTGGCCCAATGTCAAGTATTATATTTTTAGGATATCTTTAATTTAGAATATATTTTTATTCTATCAACAAAACTCTATTTTAAAATTTCAGGATCAGCTTGACAAAGTTGTTTTTAACATTGGATTCATTGGGCAGGTTTTAAATTCTAGCAGTATCCTGAACAAGCTATTTTACTGAGGAGGTAAAGATTAAATATGCCTAGGAAATTATAAGAATAAATTCTTAAGAAAGCTGGCCCAATAGCTTTGTAGTTAAGAGAGCCAGATCCCACATAGCCAACTGTGGTTCAAGCTCTGGAAATGAAAAACACACTGGGTGCATGTGTATGTATGCTCCAAATCCCCAAAGGATGGAGAAATGGAGGAGAAGGGAATGTGGTGTGACCACACCCAGTTGAGGGAGGGATGCTTACTTCTATTCTCTTTCTCTGTTCTTCTATTTCTTTTTGGCAAGAGCACATATTCTCTGGCAATTAAGAAAAAAGGGTACATAAGAAATTTTAGCTACTATTACTATAGGTGTCCCAATTCATGCACCTGAGTCCCAAAACACATCAGGAATTCTAGACAGAATTATACAGTTCTCTATGAATATGCTAATGAAGCAATTATTGTATTCTGATTTGGAGAGTTTCAAGTGTTTAAGTTTTTTTTAAATTATTTAACTTAATTTTATTTATTTTAATTTGATAGAGAGAGAGAGAGAGAGAGAGAGAGAGAGAGGGGAGAGAGGGGGGAGAGAGAGAAAAGAAGAGAGAGGGAAGAGAGAAATATAAAGTGAGGAAGCAAGCTGCCAGGTCTGGGACTCAAACCATGGTCAGCCATGTGGGATTCCAGCAACCTTAACCACCACACCACTTGCTGGCCTCAGGTTTTTTCTTTTTTCCTGATATGTCTATACAAAGAAAAACCTTCTAAATTCACATCATAATCAAGAATCACACTTTCAAGAAACTTTTATTAATATCCTTCTACTTTCTACACAGTGGTACTAATATGTAAAAATAAGTTAGAAATGGGAAACAGAATTTGACAATAATTGACCTATTAACAAAACAGTGCTTTTAAAAAGGAAGAGGGCATAATCCCATGGACCAACCAAGTGCCAGGCAGTCACAGGCCTGTGGGTACAACGAACATGACTTAATTCCAAGTCAGACAGAACCAGGTCAGATCTGGCTCATCTACTATTGACTGGGGGGCTTGGACAGAGTTACTTAATTCTCTGACTCTATCATGAGCTTCTGAACACAGCCCTGACCCAGCTGCTCCTTGGCAGTGAGATCTCTAGGATCCTGGGCAACTGCTATCCTCTGTGCAGTTTGTAAAATTCACCTTATTTTAAGACCTATGTCATAGGCCCCTAGAAGAACTTGAACTTATTGAAATCTTTCAGGATCAGGTTGACAAATCACAGTGGCTACAAAAATAAATAAATAAATAAGCAAATAGATAGGAATATGTGTGTGTGTGTGTATATATTTATTTATATATACATATATGTATATGTGTATATGTATTACATATGTGTGTATATATGTATATACACATATATATGTGTGTGTATACATATATATACACACACATACACACACACACACACATATATGAATGGCGATTTATTTTTTTTAATTTTTAAATTTTTAAATTTTGTTTTGGAGAGGTTTTCGCTATAGGGCACGTGCACTCGCCAGACAGACAGAGAGAGACAGAGAGACAGAAAGCGAGAAATCACCCCCCAGGGGGGATGGTCATGCCGCAATCCCTTCTCCTCCATTGTCCTCTCGGGATCTTGGGCACGCATGCACACGCACCCGGCATGAGTTTTAAGCCACTGGGTCCGGGACACGAACCGTGGTTGACTACGTGGGAGTCCAGCGACATAGCCATTACGCTAATTGCTGGTTCCCTGAATGGTGATTTATTAAATAGAGCCCTCCTCTTGGCATCAAAGTCTAGCTGAGCGAAGATTCCCTCTATAGCAGGTAGATCAGATATTATACCAGAACAGGGCAGGTCCCCTCTACTTCATTCACACTCCAACCCTCTCAAAGGTAGGCCCACTAACCTTCACTGTGTGTTCCTTCCAGACATGGAAATTGAGTAGAAAGGAGGGAGAGAAACATTCTTATCTTTGGATAGACAGGCTATGATGTGAAGGTCTCTAAGGTCTGCTTAGCTGACTAGAGTCTGGATAGGCTGGATTTCATTTAAAGTCATTACCCACAGGGCACACTGTGTGTCTGGAGACACGTATGCTCCAGCTGTCCTCTCTCACAATGGCCTGCCTTACCATCCAGCCAACCTTCTGGGCTGTCCAACCTCTAGCTCAGCCCACAGGGCCTTTGAGCTGGAGTCTGCCAGAAACAGGTTACCATAAGGAATGAAGACTGTGGGAAAACAAATCTCTCCTACTGAGATGTTGAACTCGACCATATCTGAAAAGCAGACTTTTCCATACACTTCAGTTTCTTATTTACAAAGACTTCTGTAACTATAACCTCCATGGTATCCTCAGTTCAAAGCCATGGCTCAGGAAGTACTTTCAAGCTTGGGAGTTAAATTGTTCCTAACAGTACGTTGTAAATGGGTAAAGCTTAAGAATGTGCTGGGTGTTTGGGAACAGAATATCTGTGTAACACAGGAATCCTAATTTCTTAGGACTTATTATGTATCACGTGCTTGGTAGCTAGTGTAAGGACAATCCTTGCAGTCTCTTAGTAGATGCTATCACCTTTAGATTGTTGGTTGTTCATCTCTCCTTTATTGGAAGAAACCATTTTTCCTACTTACAGAGAAAGAAAGTAAAAGGCGGTTAGGGAACTTGCCTACAATTGTCTAGTATATGTGGAATAAAACGGGGAGTCAGATGGAGGCAGTTCAGCTCTAGAATGTGGGCTCTTCGTCATTGTTTATGTCCGTCTGCCCTGTCGGGGTAAAGAAGCTGAGACCCACAGATATATGAATGCCTGAAGTCACACAGATTTGACACAAAAGTCCAGACTGCAGCTATATCCCCGTTTAAACAGTATGCTGTTTCCATACCTGAGTTCTGAAACTTTCATACCACCTGAGGAATTTTCTGACACCAAAACATGACACAAGAAAGTACATAGACTTATAGTGATTTTTTTTTCTTTCTTTCTTTCTTTTTTTTTTTTTTTTTGGAGAAGTTTTTGCTATAGGGCATATACACTTGCCAGAAAGACGGAGATGGAGAGAAAGAAAGCAAGAAATCACCACCCATGGGGGATGGCCATGCTGCAATCCCTTCTCCTCCATTCTCCTCTTGGGATTTTGGGCACACACGCACACGTGCCCGGCATGAGTTTAAGCCACCGGGTCCGGGACTCAAACTGCAGTTGACTACACGGGAGTCCAGCGACACAGCCATTATGCTAACTACAGGTCCCAGATTTTTATTTTTTAACATGAAAAGCCCAATCAGATAGTGGCTGATGACATAGTCTGGTAATTGATAACCTCGGTGCTACTAGAGCCACTGAAGATGACTCCAAATGCATGAATCTGTCCACATGCCAAGAGCTTTATCATAAGACCTGGCAGCTCATGATTAAAGAGGCTCTAGAGTCCCCAGACCACAAATGCCCTTTCAAAAATTTTCCACATTTGTTCTCATGTCAAGCCATGATAAAGTGTTTCCATTGGTCAAATACACCAGCTAAAATTAATTTATTTTCTGAAAAAGAACTGGCTCTTTGGGTCCAGCACTGATAGAGGTTCCTATCGACCATGGGATAGGCAGAGATGAAGTGTGACTGTTTGACGTGGTTTATAGAAAATTCTAGAAGACTTTTAAGACTCCTGAGCAGGAAGGTTTCTGAGCCATGATTGTCCAACTCCTGTCAACTTAACAGGGATGCAACTTGTCCATAAGCCAGGGTCAGTAATAAGGGCTTGAACATACGTAGGTAGCACACAGCCTTAAGTCCAAAGACTGCTGGAGGAGACACTTCACTCTTCACTTTGACTGGGCCTAATTCCTGACACAGATCCTCAGAGTCAAAATCTGATTCCAGGCATAGTAAATAGAACTTATATTTTTCTAGATCTGTCAATAAAAATTTTAGGGGTAGATCCAGAAATCTTAAGACTAATGTCATAGGTCTTTACTCAAAAATAGCCTTAATATATATGCACAGCCTCCCGGGCATAGACAACAGAGCCAGAGAGAGAGAGATTGTGTGTGTGTGTGTGTGTGTGTGTGTACACACACACAAAAGGTCCTTAGCTTCCTCCAGGTAACAGACCTCAAACTCCTTCCACAGAAGGGCAGAAAGGAGGCTGGTGAAATTTGGAATAATGTCAGCGATTGTAAACAAGATTGGGCAAACTCCTGCTGGCCCCTTATCCTAGTTTCTGCTGTTAACCCGCCTAGGGGCTTCCTCTGCGAGGTCCAGGCACTGAAGGGTGCAGGACAGCCAACGTCCAGAAAAGGAGCGGAGAAACTAATGCAATTGCAGACAGCCTCCTTCTGGGTCCCTCCAGAGGGAGGCCTGTGCTGGGCAGAGATCCCAGGGGAAGGTTCCCGAGGGAGCTAAAGTAAAAGTTTCAAAGCGCCAGAGAATGCACTTTAACTTTCAGCTAGAGGGAGGAACTTAACTTTTCTTTGAACCAAGTTTCCAGTCTACCAGGAAAAGTCACTTGGGACTAAATACCCCGGGGATCTGGATCTCCCCCTTTACAGCAGGCGGCTGAGGAGACAGGAGACCCCTCTGCGAGGCGCCCTGCCACCACCGGCCTGCACCCCACCCCGCCTCCCCGCTCCATCCCAGTCTCCGGTCCTCACCTGCGATGTCCCAGAGCTGCAGGCGCACCACTGTCTCAGGGTCCCAGTGGAGTACCTTGAGTGCGAAGTCCACACCGATGGTGGCCCGGTAGTGCGAAGAGAAGTTCTGGTGCACGTAGCGCTTGATTATGCTGGTTTTGCCCACACCCAGGTCGCCGATCACCAGCAGCTTGTACAGGTGCTCCCTGTGCGGGGCCTGCATCTTGGCGGCCGCCCGCCGTGCGGTGAGTGCTTGGCGGGGAAGCGCTGCCTAGGCTCAGCGGCACTCCAGAGAGACTCAAGCGCACCAGCGCAGAGGCGCGCGAGAAGGAGGCGTAGGAGGAGGCTGGCTCCTGGGCCTAGGGGCGGAACTCCTCCCCCAGGGGTTAATCGGCCTTCCTACTCTGCAGTCTTGAGAGGGGTGGAGACTGGAGCGACTCCCAAGCTGGAAACTAAAGGGGTTATGGCCTGTTGCCACACTTATTTTCACCGCCTTGACAGTTTGCGAAGAGTTTTCTCACCTATGTTCCTGGCCACAACCCCAGGAGGTGTGAATTTTATTTTCCATGTCTTGCATGCGTGCAAGAAAACTAGTATCTGAAAGTACTGTAGGGAGATGATAGTGAAAGGCTCAGCCAAGCACAGGTCTCCTGAGCCCGCTGGTCTGTCACTACCCCACCCCGTGGAGAGGGCATCTAGATGCAGCAGAGAATACAATCTCGGAGGCACAGCACCTGGGTTTGGGTCCTGCGTGCCCAGTTGTCGTTCAGTGACCGCGTGCAAATAGTTTTTAACTCTTCCAGCCCCTGTTCTTCCTCAAAATGGGAAACTGACCTCTCAGCCACTTACATGTGTGAAAATCAGGCAATATCACCCCCATTCAACCATCAATGTGTAACTTTCACCCCATTCAATCCTTAATAGTCTAGCAAGGAGGCCGGTTGGGCTAAGATTGCTCAGGGCTTTCATGACTTTTGACCTCCTCTCCTATTCTAAAAGCTCAGAGCAGCACTGAAATAGTCTTGGAGACAGTCCAAATGCTGGTCAGATTATTATAAGCGATAATAGCAAGCATTATGGAGCACTTGGCTATGTGCTGGGATTTTATATGCTCTGCAGATTCATCATCCCAGTGGTGTTTAAAAATGGCTATCACTAATCTTCCCAATTTACAAATGGGGAAACCAAAACCCAGATGTTCTAAGTGATGTACCTAGGTTCAAACAGTTGACAAGGAAAAGGCCAAATTCAACCCTAGGTCTTATAAGTGTCAACTATTAATATTTTTTCCTATTTATTCTAGCCAACATAAGTTAATTGCCTACAGTATGCCATGCATAGTTCTATGTGCTTGGATGATACCAAAACAGTAATAGAGACAAAGATTCCTGGCCTCAACAAACATATATAAAGCAGGAAAGGGGATAGAAGACTTGGAATTGACTTGGCCTTTTAGATAGTGTGAGCAACGATGGTCTCACTGAGAAGGTGACAATTCAGTAAAGACCTGAAGAAAGTGAAAAGCTGGGCATGCAGGCTTCTAGGAGAGTACTCTATGCCCTAATGAATTAATTTGTAACCAAACATGTTCTGTTATCTCATTTTATCTTTCCAATTACCTTATGAAGTGTTGTATTCTGTTCAGTGTATAAATAAGGAAACTAACATGGAGAGCAGCTATCCCACAGCCACATGCAGCTTATAAGTGTTTGAACTGGGATATAACTACAAGCCTGGGTGACACCAGGAATGGAAAGTCTGATATGTTTGTCCGTTGTCCTTCTGCCTTCCTCCTCTGACATGACACACTTTAACCCTCAGCCTTGCAAGCCCTTAACTAGCAGAAGGAAGCCCTGGCTCTGTGGCTTAGACACATCACATAACTTGAGTGTTGATTTCCACAGTAGTACAATGAGAATAACATCTCCCTTATAGAGCTGTTGAGAAGAGTAAAGATGGTGTACATAACATAATGCCAGGCCCATGCTAGGGCTGAATAAATGATAGCTCTTAATATAAAATGTGGGGCAAGCTTTAAATGATGTCAACAGATATTGTCTTTGCAGCTTTATCTCTCCCCGGAGGGCAACTGGGAAGCTTTGCTCATAATGGACTCTAAGTCAAAGTGTATAGACGTGTGTTGGTGTGTGTTTTATTGAAGTGCTTACATAGGTAGACCTCATTCATTGCTTTCCTCCCACACAGAGACACACCAGGAAGATTATATCTAACAAGTGAGACAAATACTCCACCTGCTCAAAGAATTGGCCCACACTGTGGCTTCACTGCCAAGGGAGGGGAGCTCAGGGATAGAAATGTGTAAGCCCTCCTTAGCATCTGCAAAATTAGGGATGATGGCAAAATAAGACCTTGCCAGATCTAAAATTTCAGGTCTAGCAATCTGAAAGACAAGTTTGTTCTGGTTGAGGTGAGGGTGATGATAGAAACAAGGAGAGGGGTCGAAGTTTGAGACACAATGTGGGCCAGTCTTCAGTGACATACATGATCCAATTTCTTTGCAGTCTATTTTCAGCCTGGCTCCGGGTTGAATCAACCTCACCCTTTTCAGGTCTTCTCTTTGAATTGGAGCATACTTGAGCATTGAGCAAGTAGATTTATGATACAGGGCAGACAGGACAAGATTCAGGTTTTTAGGGACTGAAATTTATAAAACTGGGTGGAGAGGGCTCTTTAAACAAAATAATTTAAAATTTAACATACAAAATTCGAGGACCAGCAGGTGGCATGGTGGTTAAGGCGCTAGACTCACACATGGCTGACCATAGTTTGAGTCCCCAAGCTAGTGATTTGCTTTCTCACTTTCAACCCTCTCTCTCTGTCTCTCTCTCTGGTGAGTGCACATGCTCTGTAGAAAAATTTAAAAATAATGATAAGTAAGCAATTTTTTTTAAATGCAAAATTAGGTCCAGGGCCTTCAAAGGGCTCCTGAAGCTTCAGCTTCATTGCCTCACTGTGGACAGGAGATCCCTCCCTTAGGAACTGGCCAACTGTGGTGAGCAAATTCTCTGATTAGGCAGGAAGTATGTGCAGTTTGTTTCCAACACCATTCATTTAGGTCTCATGATAATTTCTCACAGTGGGAAGAAATTAGTCTCTATTTATATTTTTAAGTCTTTTAGACTAAAGTGATGAGGTAAATACCCTAGACTAGCAGTTCAGTAAAATCTGTTTCTGAACCTGATAGTTGGCTGGGGAATATGAGGGAACCATAGAGAGTTGCAAGATCTCTGGAAAGTCCTTTGGACTCTAAAATTTCATAATTCTGGATTTTGTTTCTTTGTTTTGGTTTTGGTATGGTTTGTTGGTTTTGCTTGTTTGCTTTTTAATTGCCAGAGGATATATGCATTCACAAGAAAGAGAGAGGGAGAGGTAGAAAGCACCCCTCAATGGAGTACACTCGTGCCTCAATCCCTTCTCTATTTTGCCACCCTGTTGGGATTTGGGGTACCTAGGTTCACATACCCAATGTGTTTTTCAGGTTGCCAGGGTAGGATTTGAACCATGGTTGGCCATGTGGGATCTGGCTTAACCCTTAGGCTATAGGGCTGACACCGAATTCTGGATTTGTAAGACATTGGTAGGAATGCCACCCTAGCTGATTCTAGTCAGTTCACAATGGCGCCATTTATCAAGAGGAGAATGAGAGGAGGACTAGAAAGGCATTAGCTTTCCCTGTTAATGGGTGGGTGGAATTGCTGCCCACATGGGGACAACCTTGATAGCCCAACCTTGGGTCCCCTGTTGTTACTGTCCAGCCACAGCCCCTGAGAGTCTGGAAAAAATTATCATTGTAAAACAAGCTTGCACATGTTCTGAAGGTAAGAGACCTAATCCTTTAGTTAATAACTATTTTTGAAAAAGCTTTGATATGATAAAAACAATTGCATCTTTTTCTTTTATTTTAAATTCTGAATTTAAAAAATACTGTTATGTGAGTGACTTTCAGAAAAAGGAGGGGGGGGTGTGGTTCCCTGTGTTGTATTTGCTCTGTCTGTGGAAAATTTGGGAGAAAGACTCTGAAAGGGCCATCTCAAAAACAGATGCAGTGCCACAGAGCTATTCCAGTTCTATGGCTCTGTCTTTTTTTCAGTTGCTGTGCATTTTCCTAAAGATAAAGGCAACCCAAGCACATCTTTTGGAGGGTAAACCTTCCTGTGCTCTCCTGCCTTACAGGGAACTTTCTTCCTTCTCTCAGTGCCAGGCTGCAGACAGGGAGCAAGGAAGCTGGGGCCATGCTACAAACTAGAGTCAGGCCAGACAGTCCTTAGCTGGGAAGGGTAGTATTAGGTTGAAATCTTCACCTTCCACTGTCTTTCTTGCCCTGCAATGATGATGCATCAAAAGAACCCATGGGTCCTAATCTGAGAATCTATTGGGTCATTGGGAAAGTCATGACACATTTTTGCATAGAGTAATGTGTAATGACTTTTCCCAGCTACCTAATACCTGCCTTACATAACCATAGTGAAGCAGGCCAGCTTGAAGTTTAGCAGGACTACAGCCATTTTAATTGAGAAAGACCTCTAACCAGAACAATCTGACCAAATGCTGAGTCATGGGAAGGTCTATTTGTGGAATGGTCAGAGGAGAAACCAGGTATGGGTATTTGAAGGAGTCAGGATAATTACTCAGTGAAAAGCAATTCATTTTGATTGATTATAATGAGGAATGACCTCCATGTGCATCTATCTGTAAATACAGAGGACATGCTGAGCTCTTTGAGACCTTTGGGTGTCACTTACTGGCTGTCTCCCTATAACCTGGTTGCTGAAACAAACTCCCTTCTCTACTCTCTGTCTCTTATTTCATTGACTGTGAGCAGAATCAGCTGGACTTAGTTTGCCAGAAACATTAGGACTCCTCAGAAGGATGCCCAGCTTCTTCCTGACGAGACCCCCCAAGGAAGTTGTTGCCCCTCCCTCTGGAGAAAGTGGCTACAGTGTGCTATGTGGCTGCTTCTCCTAGCAGCCTTACTCACAGGGGAAACCTGTTTTCCACAGTAACTCTTGAAGCATCTCTGACAATGTTTTGACACTCTTACAGTCCTCCAGTTGCTACACCACAGCACACCCTCTCAAAGGTCAGGAAAGCAGATGACTCAAGGCACAATAAGGTACGTGAGACCACAAATTCAAGCCTGGACAGATGTCCCAGAAGGCATAGCATTGGATTTCTCCATTCTATGCTGTCCAGAGTGAAATATATTCTCATACATACTAAGTGGAAAACTAATTAAGATGATGAGAAACTACTTTGCAAAAATAAATTTGAAGGGACACTTATGTTTCCCTTCCAGGGCTGCCATA